TTCAAAAATTTCCATTGTGAAAAATTTCAAATGAATTTTTCCTATTGCAAAAATGTTAAATCATTTTTCTTTTTTTTTTGCATACAAGCAAATTTTGTTATATTTTTTGACATTGTCATCAACATATAGAAATTAAATTGTAATATTAAAAAATCCTTGTTCGATAACATTGCAATAAAATTGAAATTACAAATTGAAAATCATTTATTAAAAATATAGAAAATTTAAATAGAAAAATTTTCATGCGAATATTTTACATAAGCTGCAATCAAATCAATTCTGAAAAAAAAATGTCATAGTATTCGTGTATGTACTAAAAGTTATCTGAGAGCTACTCATGGGGTCAGATTAATAAAAAAATTTAAATTTTTATGTAAACTGCAAAATGAAAACGTACAAGAATTTCATCCTCTTAATTTTGTGGTATAAAAAATGAAATAGAATAAATAGAAAAAATAGGATCAAAAAATCAAACCAAAATGTGCAATCATAAAGTTCTCTTGACATACACAAGATTTATTCTTAATATTTTAGGATATTTCGTTGTTGCTGTTTCACATTCATTTTAGAGTAAAGGGACAAATTGAGTACGAATAAAATTTAAAAAAAGATTTAATACACAATTTACAGAGTGCATCAAAATAATTTTAAAATATTTCTTTTCGACAATTTAAGGTCTTCTGATAGGTTTTTTATTTTGTTGTAATAAAAAGACAATTAAACATGGTCTTAAAGTTCTCATTTAATAAAATGGTACTTAATAAAGTTCAAAATAATATTGAAATTTTTTTAAAAGCACTTTTAAATTCTTGACAGTGCCCGATGTTTTAACAACTTTGCTTAAAAAATATTCTAAATTATTCATGTACTTGTAAGAAATTCACTTGAAAGTAGGTAATGTCATTTAAGTTTCAACATTTTATTGCCATTGAATATCAATTGGACTACACCGTTGGGGATACAAAACTTATTTTAACCTCATAACGCTAATCAAATGCAATATTTTTCAAATTTTTTTAAAATAAAATGAAATGTGCACGGTAATATGAAAATAATTTTCCTAACTCACTGTATAAGTATAACTGGAAATGTTAAGAAACAAATAAATTTGTATAGCCCCAATATAAATCAAATGAACACTCATAAAAGAGAATGGAATAAGTAGCTGAAAAAGAAATGATATGTAGAACAAAATGATTGTATATAACAATTTTAATACAAATTTGTACAAAAAATAAAAATAATAAAAGAAACCAAATCCTGATGATTTTTTAGAATCAAATATAAATTTTCATTGGTTTGAGGTTTTTTTTTTCTTTATCTTGTAAAATAAAAGGATATAACGCAATATACTTAAGTAACAACATAAAATAGAACAGTTTTTTTTTTATATCGTATATGTGTAAAATATTTGCATATTGTTATTTCCGGAAATCAAAGTGCTATATAACTCATATATTATACTTTCATCCTAATATGAAAATCACATTTATCAAATATTTAAATCCTTAAAATACGAAAAGGAAATATAAAATCTTTTTCTCTTTTTTATATCCGTAGTAGAAATTTTTTTTTAAATTTTTCTGAAAAAACAAAATAAGAGTAATAAAAAAAAAAATATTGCAAATTGGAATGAATGAGGGTTACCTGGCTAACTCACAGGCATTCTTGCAAACAGTAAATATTTTGGAATTCCTATGCCTGTTGTGCAAATTGGCGGAACTTTCAATGAAAATCTGTAGAAAATGTCCTATGTACTGCAATACATTTAGGGTATTCGCAACGACAAAGGTTTTGGAATATCAACAAGTTTTTGTAAAGTAATCACTTTTATTTTGGTTTGAAATTACAAAAGAGAATTTATTGGAATATCGTCTGATCTGTGCAAATTAATATTATCTACCAGACTGGTTAGAAATTTTTGAAAGAAAATTTATTGGTACAAATTTTGATTGATAGAAACTGGTTGGAACACCTTGGATTCAAATTAATTCGAACAAAAAAACTAAAATTTGCATATCTTTGAACGCAGGATTGAAATTCCAATGATATTTTATTGGTACATATTTGAACAGATTGATAAAAACATAATTGTCATTGGGACCAATTAAAACGTAGTTCTAGAATTTACTTCAAAATTTTTGTACACGTAAATGATTAAGCAAAACAGCACAATGCACTTCTGGACTTCATTTCGAATTTATAATATTATGTCCTGCAAAATAGTTTCTTTATGGTATAAAATAAATAATTCGAAAAGGGTTTTTCTATGTTTCAAGGTTGTACAAATTTTCGAATACACACTTTATGTTTGTGAATTTTTAGACAAAAAAAACTGATATACCGGCATGTGTGTATGTACACATATTATACAAAAATAATCAAATAGCAAAAGTTGAAATAAAATTCGGTTATATAGGTATTTTTAAAAAGGACATTGATAAAGCATATGTGCTTTTCAATTTTTTGTGTAATAGTAGAAAAAGCCCAAATTTATTCAAATTTTCAATATCAAAAGTTTAAGGAGACATTCTGTTTAAATACTATAATAGAAAACCTACTTTCAAACTGATTCCTTCGATTAGGTTATATGGTATTATATGTGCCATGTACTTAGAGATATAAATAAAATATCTTCCTACGTTTGCATATGCTATTGTTTTCAAGGATCCTCTTCAAATTATTTTAGAAACTTTTGTTTGTTTTTTTGTTTTTTTTGTATTTTACATATGCGACATTGAAAAGTTTACAGTTTCCTCTCATATGCTAAATATGTTCAGTTCATGGTTATTTAATTTTAGAAATTTTATTTTTATTATAAATCTTCTATTGTTTCCTAATAGATATCTTGTAGGTGAATGATTAAGTGAATGACTTATTAGACGGATTTGGTTTTTTGTTATTTAAAATTTAATTTTTGGTTCTCAGACAATTTATTGTTCCTCCATCGCGTTGGTAATACTGGTAATGAAGTAACTTTTGATATAAATTCAGCCCTCGCAGATTCTTAATTCAATAAATTACTGATTAAATTATTACCAGAAGAAATAGGTACAATTTAGCATTAAAAACGTCACTTCTTTATTTCTCTAGCATTGCTCCTTTTACAGCAAGTTTTATTTTCAATACAGAGCAGTACAGAGACTCCGTGATCTCTTCGGATTGCGCCTCACCCAATAAACAAATAAAAATAGAAGAAGAAATGTAAGCAAAACTAAATTTTAATAAAAATCAAGGTTCTTTAAAATTCCAGATGTTATTCCAAATTGTTATTATTAAACAAAAATATAAGAAGAAATAGGAAAAAAGGATCAAAGCAATGTTAGGACCAAAGTTTTAAATTTTTAAAGATTTTTCTAAAATTATTTTTAAATTTTCGTAGAATGATTAAGATCACCATCGTTGATTTTTAAATTACAATATTCTTAAATAATTTTAATACAATAAGGGTATTACAAGCTGAAATTCTATGAAATGAAAATTTTCGAAACGAAATGAATTCGAAACGTAATTCGACCAAGATAAATTGATATTTTCGAAAAAGTTAGTTAATATAAACAAGTAATATTGCTTTGTATTTTTTTATTCTTAACCTTTTCCTGTCAATATTAAAAAAAACGTAAAATTATTAAAATATTTAAAGTATTTTACAACCTTTAACTCGAAGCTTCTGATTATAATTTCATTAAAGAATACGTCAGAAGATTTGTTTTATATTAGAAATTTATAAAATTCTCAGAGCGAGTAAATTTCTTTTAATGCTCATATATCAGTACTACCAAAAGTGAAGATTTATTTTCAAAATTATGGATTTTTAATGTTACTGAAGTTTTTCACAATTTGAATTTTTTTACACTTTTTTTGAAATTCCAAACCTTTTGACCAAAAAGTCAATTTAATTGACAATTTAATATGGTAGCGTTACTTCCATGACCGAAAATTTTTGATATTTACTTATAACGAATACAGCTTTCGACATTATCATGTCATTGTACATGTCATTGGTTATTCTTTTTGGTTTCTGACTAGATTCATAAGTTCATGAAATTTTGGCTTCCTACTTTTTTAAATTGAACTTCAACTGAAGATCTCGAATGGTTCGTAAAATTTTTTTTTATCGAATCTTCAAAATGGATATTTTATTCTAAAAGGATATTTGCACTAATATATTTATCAACACTGTCATATATGTAGCTACGGGAACGACAGAGCCAAAAATAAATTATACAAATTACAGTTTAAGGCTCTAGTTTTAAGCGAATTTAAAAATTTTTTATTCTTTTACGTTTTACGTTTTTATTTTGAAAATTATATTTGAAGAACAGAATGGGAACAGAAAATAAGAGTCAAACCCGGAAATTTAAAAATATTACTTATAAGTTTTATGCATTTTGCAATTTCTTCAATATATGCGTTGTCGTGTTTGCGCTATATATTAAATTTAAGCCAAAATAAAGTTGGTATTTTTATTTATTCAATTTATTGACATTAATTTTCACCTTATTTATATAATAAAATTTTATTTTTAATTTTTAATAATTTTTATAATAAAATTAAATAAATTTTTGAATAGTATAAATTTTTATTTAAAAACAAAATGTTAAGTAATTTTAATAATGATTACATAGATTTATGAAATTAAATGAAAATTTGAAAATCAGCTCATATGCCATTTTAAAATTTGAACGCGTCTCTTAGTTTCACAAATGTTAATAAAAACAAATAAATTTATTTTATTTTAATAACAATATTTAAGAATAATATAAAATATATAATAATATTATATAAAAAGGATATCTAGCATATTATTTAATTTTGCTGATAATACTACATAACTAAAAACTAAATCTAAATATTAAATAAATTTTTAATTTATTAGTATACATACAAACTAATTAAGAATTTAAGAATATAAGTAAGTATATAGAATAAAATAAATTTATATATTTATTTACATATTAAATTTTAATTAAATTATTCAATAAAAATTTATACTTTACCTCATCCTCAAAATTATCTTGTTCAGTCATCTTTTTTGATTTATTTTTTTTTTGTTTTAGTTTATTTTGTTATATAATATTTATTAGTCTGTTATATTATGTAATTTAATAAAAGATCAAAATATATTTTTGAAAATTTTATATTAAAATATGAAACAAAAACAAATTTTAAATTTTCTGAATATTTGAAAATTTTAGCAAAAAAAAAATTTAGCGAAAGAAAACGCTCGAGCTTTCTGACTTTGCATTGATTTTTGTTTTTTTCGACGCTTTATTATTTGTATAGTTGTTAAAAATTGCTAAAGCAGGATCAACCTATTATTTTCATATCAGAATTTTCATAATTTAGTTTTTATTTTTTTTTTTTTAATTTTTCAGCATTTTCCTTGTATTTTTTTGTAAAGCAAATAAATTTAAAGCATTTTCTTTTTTAAATATTTCATTTTTGAAAATTGCACAAAACTTATCACAAACAATTTTCTTTTATTTAATATTACTTAGTTATTTTTTAATATTTTAGCAGAAAAGCCCCAATATATTTTTCTCTTTATTATTTTTCTAAATTTACTTTTCATTCAATTTTATTATTATGTTTTTTTTATAACTAAAACTAGACGCAATGCATTTTCAATTATAGTAAACAAAATTAAAATAAAATGAAAAATTTAAAATTAAAATCGGTTCAATGTGTTTTATCTCAACTTTCGTTAAGTTTCGTTGAGTTTCGTTAAGATTCGTTAAGTCTCGTTAAATCTCATAATAATTATGTTTATTAAATTTTCAAAATTTTAAGATAAATATTTAACATTTAAAATACATAAAATCACATAAACCAATTTTATTTTGTAAATTTTGAGTTCACATGTTTTATTAATTATTTTTATTAAATATAATTGAAATAGTTTGTTTTTGTGATTTTGCAGCATTAATTATTATGAATAATAAATTACGTATATTTGTGTATAATTGCAATTTTATATTTTATATTGCACACGAGCGTTTTCTCTTCAATTAAAAGATTGAAATCTCTAATTTTATGGTATCTCAATTAATTTAACGATAAAAAGATGTAAGAGAAATTATGTAAAATTTTTTGTTTTTGTAAATTCTTTTAATGATTACAAAAATTTTTGATATGAAATCAAAAAATTATATTATCGTAAATGCGAAAATGAAATTAGCGAAGACAGGTGAGTACGATTTTAAAACAAATAATAAATTTCAATTATTTAATTTTTGTAAATGTAGATATGTATATGTGTAAAGAAAATATATGGTGAATGTCAAAATACAAAAGTAATAATTCACAATGGAAATAAAATTTTTAGTAAATTTTTTAAATTTTTTTCCACTTTTCTACTTTTGGATTTCTTAAATTTTTGCCTTATTTAAATCCCTTTAAGATTTGTTCGGTTATGTCGATGTTATGGAAGAAGAATGACGTATCTGATATGATTTTTTAAATTTTTTTTTTGATTTTTTTTTTGGATTTTCTAAAAATTTGTTATTATGAACGGTTGATTGGTTTGTTGGTTTAGTTGATTTGTTGTTTTTAATTTAATAAGTTTGATAATATTTATTTTATTTATTTTGTTCTATTTTTTTGTTTCTTAAATTTTGGAAGATCCTGGAATTGTAAGAAAATGAAAAAAAATAATAATATAAAATTAATTTTATTATATTCAATAATAATTTTCTTTTTCATTTCTATATTTCATTTTAATTCAAGTACATAATATTCTATACATACATAAGAATATGAGTGAATGTGAGTATAAGTGTGCCTGTATATTCAAAAATAATTTCTATTGCTGTGTGTAAGGTTAAAATACAAATTAAATAATAATGTAATTTTTAATAATTTTTATTTATTTTTTTCTTTTGTGTGTAATGGTGCTTTTACAAAATTTTCTGTGAATAGTTTTTATATTGTATATTTTTTGTAAACATTTTATGAAATTGGAATTATTACCTCCTGGCAATTTTTATTTTGCTATTATTATATCAAATATTATTGATTTTGATTGATTACTATGTTTATTTGTATTTTTTATTATAATTTTGATTATCTGGTAATTTTTATATTATTTATCTAGTAGAAAATAATTTGAAATTGAATTTGAATTAAATTAAGATTTTTATTATAGATAACGAATAAAACGAACATGAAAATTATAATAAAAATTTTATGGAATTGAATTTGAGTTTCCTTTTCTATAATATTTCAATAATTTTAGGAGAAAGGGAGCAATTCGAAATATTTTATAAATTATTTTTATTACAGCTGGGCTAGATCAAACTTATTGAAATTGGACAAAACAAAAATTTTTATTGAGCGCCGTAAATTTTGGTTTGTCTTCAGTTTTTTGAATTTATTAATGCATCCCTCTTATACGCAAGATTTTTCTGTTCTCCTGACTCCTGGCATTGGTTAAATGGAATATTTGCTTTAAACAGCTAAATTTTGAACTTCTACGTTTAATTATTGTCAATAATGAGTTTTTAAAATAAATTTCTTATTAATTATTAGTTATTATTTCCACATGATAAATTTTGCATATATTTAGGGGAATTATTAAAATGATAATTTTTTAAAAATTGCTTTCATTATAAAATTAAATCGTGAATTAAATTAATAGTGCATATAGTGCTCTTATTTGAGCGCGTGTAACGGGGAGGAGACGGGCATTCGATCTAGAAAAATATGTATACAAACGTGTAAAATATTTAGATTTTTAAATTAGGATTTATTATTTTCGGAAAATAAATGTATTTCTTGCATATTTAAAGCAATTAGCATTTAAATATAAATAAAATTTCTTAATATAGAAAACATTTTCTATTTTTATAAAACTCATATAACATTTTGATAAATTAACGTCAATTTTAGTATAAAATTTTTTTCCTTGTTCAATAGACACAGAGCAATATTATTTATTATACTTGCACACACAGCATTTATATACAATATTTGCGTAGGTATGTAAATTTATTTTCAAGACCTTAAGTAAATAATACACTCGAAATGTCAAATTATGGAAACGGTGATTTATTTGGATTTTTACATTATATTAAAAAGGAATGATGTGCAGCATAAAATAGCAATTAAATTTCATATCTCTAAAAATATTATGAAGGTGAGTTTGTCCATTGTAACTGTGGATAACGGAAAACTGCGTATTATATTTTTATTAAGAAACTTATATCATTTGTAAATTCATGATTGTAGGGTAAAACATGACACTGAACATAGATTTACAATATAAATTTGATGTCATTATTGCTTGGTAGAACATTAAATTAAATTATTGCAAAAAATTTTTTTAAAAATTTTTGAACCACACATAACTTATTAAGCGAATTAATTTCAAAAAAAAGTAATGACATACGAAATGTGCTCCTAGCCAAATTTGTGGTTTTGTTTTTGTCTCGCTTACTGTCGAGAGCCGGCACAGCAAGGGTTACAAGCCAATTCTTGATCCAAAATTATCTGAATTATTAATTTTCCGTACGGATTTGAGCGCGGCAAAACAAAAATTGTTTTATAAACGAAATTATGAAAATCTTTGTTCATACTAAAATTATTTGTTCATATCCCCACATGTTATAACTATTGAATACCCTGTTTCATTTAGCCCATTAAAAAATAGGAAGAAAAAAGCTTGAAGTTGAAATATTTGAAAATATTCAAAATTTTTTATAAATTATTTCTAATTGCAAACATATTAATTACCAGACCTTTAAATAAATTCTGAAATTTTTAATTAAAATTTTTCAAACAAAGAATTGTAAATTTTTGTAAAAGTTTTTAACAAAAATTCAAATAATAAAATGTAGAGGTGTAGAGAAAAATTTTAAATGAAAATTTTATTATAAAAATCTGTTTCAAAATTTTTTAATTACGTGAATTTTAGGCAGTTTTGTATGTCGTGATATGTAAAAAGTATAAGTGTCTCATACAAATATTTGTGATATGTATGTGTTGTTAGAACGAATAAAATATAACAAAAATTTCAAATTTTAAGAGGAAAATGTAAAACAAAACAAGAAAAATGAAAAATTTTAAAACAAAAAGTTATTGAAAAAGTTTAAAACATTTCTGAATTTCCGCTTTTTACAAAAAAAAAAATTTTAAAACTTTTATTTTAGGAAAATTTATTATATGTGTGTTTGTGTGTGTAAGTGCGTGTATAATATTATACTTATAAAATTATCAATGTATATTTTTTTTTTAAATTTAAGTAGGTGGTTGACTGCTTGGTATAGGAAATTTTGAACAATGATAGTTAATGAATTTAATGGAATTTCCTTGTTAAACTTTTCTAAATGTAAAAAACAAAAAAAGAAAAATTTTTGCCTTTTTTTATTTTCTTTTGCTTCTATTTTTACCTCGCTTAATATATTTGTTGTTCACTCGGTAGGTGGTGCTGTTAAACTACTATATGTAAATTTATTGTTATTATTGCTGTACATTTTTTTTTCTAAAAAAATTGTGTTTAATTTTTAAAATTTAAAAAAAAAAATTTTCTAAAAAATTGTAGCTCATATTTTATACAATAATTTGTAAATATTTATTTTGTATAAATTTTTTAATTATTGTAATTGTAATGTTTTAAGCAGTAGAGTTTCCTTAAAGTGTAAGCATATTATAATTTTGGTTTAGATATAGTTGGCTAAAGCAGGGGCTGCACTTGCATTATAGGAATATATCAGTTGTTTAATAAAATATTATACTCGTAAATATATAAAAAAAGCAGATTTTTAAATAAAAGCCAAAAAATTATTTACTTGTATATAAAGCTTTAATGCAAAAAAAAATTAATATTAAAATTCTCTAATATTTTAGAACTGAATCTGCATTTGTTATTGTTGATTTAGCAAGCATATTAGTATGATTTTATAAATGAATTCAATGAGTTATTTATGAAAATAATTTAATAAAATAATGGCCCTAAAATTGTTCGATAACTGCATGTTATTGGTGTAATAATATTAAACTTAATTATTGAATTCTAACTAAGTATCATTCGGAACATGTTTGAGCCTATTATAAAGTTTTTTTTGCAACATTGAATAAATTCTATAAAAAATTTTATTTATTTAGTAACTTATCAGATCTCTTAATAGATCACATTCAATACACGATTGTAAGCCTAAAAAATTGATTTATATTTCAAATTAGTTGTTTTGAATGCTTGAAGCGATTTTAGAGATTGGATTAACTTTTATATTTTATTCCTTATAAATTTTTTTTTCTTCTTTTAAAGTCATTACTGCCAAAAATTCCAAAACTAAAGTTTTTTTCTTCCCATTTCATACAGTATAATTTATTCTTAAAAATAATTTAATCACTACTAAAAAATAATAGAATTTTTTAAGCAATTATGCTGAAAGTTAACGTTCTGTTTCGGAATCTTTAGAATTTCTCAAATATTTAAATGATATTTTCAAATTTCTAAAGCATCAACATAGAAAGAGAATGAATTTTAGTACAAACTCTTATGGGAAATAAAATTTTGATTCGAATTTAAATTTAAGAACGTCCTAATATCATAAAACAAGAATATAAGAATCAAGCCAGAAATTTGTACAACCTTCACAAATTTATTTTATAATTTTTAATATTTTTATATATAAAAATATTTTTTATATTTTTATATGTTTTTTATATAAAAGAACTAGTACCAGTATGAGGAGCTCTGAACTATTTATTAAAATACAATTCAATTTGAAATTATAAAAGACAAAGCTATATTTGAACTTAAAATAATATTTTTTGTGAGTATATTCCTTACAGGCATTTTATCTGATCTCAGACGATGGGGACGCTGACAGGGCATTGCCCCCATGAGAAAGTGACTAAGAGGCATAAGTATATATGTCGAAGATGTCAGGGTATAGCGAAGGTGTAGGATGTGGAACATATCCTTTGCGTCTGTCCATTTCTGATATGGAAAAACAGGCGTATCCTTGGGCTTTCTTTTTTGA